TGCTGACTTTCTAGGCCTTCTGTATTGTCCATCCTGCTAAAGAACCTCCCATTTTTCTTGATCAAGAATCAGTTCCGAGGGAGAGACATCTATAAAACTGAGGACCAGATTGCCCTATGGTGAAGTATGAACCCTCGAGATGGCGTTGAAAGATAAAAGAACCACCTACGACAGAGCGGAGAAGTGTGGACTACTTATTTAGTTATGTAAAATATGTATTTTTTAATCAGGACAATCAAAAAGTGGTAGTCGTATGTTCTATTAAATCATACAGAGGAGAAAACAATAGTATACGTTGTGTCCTCTCGTAATAGATGTGGAGCCACGCTAGTACGTATTCATACAAGTCTGACTGGATAAACCGAAGTGGAGTGTGGATAGTGGATGTAGGGATTGCGTTTGGAACCCATTATATAATGAAGATAATCGTCACTAATAAGATTATACTTCATTTCCAACAGAGGGCTCTCTTCTCAATGATCTTGTTGATCATTTCTCTGATAGTGAAAGCCTGGTAGTCTGGCAGACTGAAGCCTGACTTGGTTACCATAGTTATGACATTCTCAGTATCAATGATTTGTGTAGGTGTGGAAGGAGCTACATTATTGGTTGTGGAAGAAGAAATGGCTTGAATGATGGGCCTGATATTTCTTGTTTGGACTGCGGGGGTAGGAGATGGTGCAGCTGGTTTGCGACTGAGCACCCTCATGGTTGGCCCAGTTAGAATGATTGTTGCTGGAGTATTTTTTGGGATACCCTCCTTGATCTTCGGTGCATTGGAAGGAATTGCTAGGGCCACAGATAGCAGTGGTAGCATTGGTATTCGAAGTGTAGTGTTTGATTCTGTAGTTGTAGCCTCTAGTGATGGGATAGTGGTAATCACTTTCCCTTCCCGACAAAAACTTCGCCAGACTTCAACAAGCTTCAAGCCTTCAGTTTCCTTGCCCATTTCACACAAAAGGCTGTATGCCTTTAATAACAAGTCTTTTGCCTCGAAACCGGCAATTTCGAAGTTGTCTTGAATGCTGTGAGAAGCAGCAATCTTGACTATTCTGGTTGGCTGAGAATTAATATGATTGGTAGCTGCAGTACCTCGTTTCCGAAATTACTCAGCAAAAATTGGTTTCAGAAATAAATTTTTTGTACCTAAATCAGTGGATGTGATTGGGTCACCGCAGAATAAATCAATTTTTGTCAACAATTTGGCAGGTCGAACAGAAATTAATAGCTTTGAAGGCTTTGTTGATGCGTCTGTGTTCCAGATTAATGATGACAACCTAGGGGCATTTATCATGTCTATCTCTGGTGAAGATAGTAGGCTCGGAAGGCTACCCTGTGATTTTATTTTATATATATATATTTTTTTATAACTATTTAACGTCGTGCTAGCTCACAACATAACCAATTTTTATTTTTCGAAATTTAGAATCCTCACTTTTTCCCCCTCTCCCTCCCTCTCGCGCTCGTCGCATTCATCAATAAATTGTGATCGAGTCGCTGGCATTTTTACCATGCCACCTGTTCGAAAAAAGCTCCCCAACGCAGTGTTGGACAACGCGAGAGTCCGCCCGAGGGCTCCCGCAAAAACACCAGGCCTCGCTCAAAAACTTTCAAGAATATTTGCGAGTGAGGCCTTCATCGAAGGGAAGTCTCCAAACCTTCCCGATAAAGAGATGACTGATTCTGAGCCAGTCAGGTCAGCAAAAATTGGTCCCAAGACCAACATTCCCATCGAGCTTGCCCCGGAGGCAAGCTGTTCAAGGAAAGGAAAGGAAGTCGTCCGAGAGAAGACGATAGAACAAGCAGAAACTTCTGCAAGAAAATTCACTGTGCCAACTCCGAAAGGCACAGCTTCGACATCAGCACCGGAATATCCTCCGGAACTGCAATCAGTGATGGAAGCCGAGAAGCGTCGCACGACGCAAATAAAAGCACATCTATCAATCTGTTCCACCGCAATAAGCAGTGTTGAGGGAGCACTTTCGCCTCTCTCGATTGGCGACGAAAAAGAGTTTGTAGACGGTATCAAAGTCTACCTTCGAGCGGCCATTGGCCAGTTCATACAATCAGGTCCAGGGAGCACCCTACCAGCTCTCCCTGTGCGCCCCAGCAACCCTCCTCCGCCGAGGGCTCATGAAATTGGGGTACCTAACCCTACGAAAACCCAGGCTCCGGCCCAAAAGACAACTCGGGCGAATGTAGCCCGAGCAGGTCTAGGCCGCAGCGCCGGGCCGCCGACTACAAAGGCAGCACCGCCTGCTCCAAAAGCAAAAAGTGCCAATCCGAGGACAAAAGTCGACGCGAGACTTTTTTGACGCCTCAAATTTAACCATCCTCACCGACTCCTGTCACCAGCTGGCGTAAGATCAGCTGTGTCACAGGTGCTTGGTACTGCTGCCGACGACATCACGTTAGTTCAGCGGGTCAAAACAGGCTTTGCATTGACAGCAAAGAATGAACTCGCTCGGAAAGAGCTCCTAGATTCCTCCATGTCACGGAGCGAATCTGTAATCAAATTGGAACCAGCATCAAATTTGGTTGCCATGCAAATTGCCACCGTCCCGGAGACAATTCAAACCCTCGATGGCCCCATCGCCGTGACGGCAAAGATGGTTGCCGATGAAGTCACGCGAGTGACCAAATCAGTTCCTTTTCTTGTTTGTCCTCATGGGACCAGCAAACCTGGGGCACCATACCAGAACTGGCATGCGCTCTTCCCTCGCGAATCCACGCCCCGACCTGGATTTCGCCTCTTCGATGACTCTGGAGCTGCAAAGCTCTTCCAACCTCGTCGAAAAATAGTTCAGTGCAAACGATGTCTTGGCTTCCATGCCTCACGCGGTTGCTCCCGCGCTCCGGCTTGCTGGAACTGCGGATCAAAAATGCACTCGGAAACGGAGTGCAAAGCCCCCACACGGTGCCGAAACTGTGGGGGACCTCATCGATCGGACTCGCGGTACTGCAAAGCCAGGCCCAGCAAGTTCGGCCCGGTGAAAAAAGAGCGGCTTGCGTTAATTTGCAAAGCCGAGCAGAAAAATCACGCCGATTATGCTCGAATTAAAGCTGCAGCCGAAATAGCCATTCAGGCGATGCACGGCTCAAAGAACGACGTCTACATGTCAGACGGATCGGGTTTTGGGACTCTGGAATCCGAAGAGGAGGTTTAAGGTTGCGGCCAGCCTCAGTGAAGTCGTCGAGGCTTCAACACACTAACAGTAGGACACCAGACGGAAATAGGGTGCCTGCGAGCTCATCTTTTGCTCTCAGCAGAGATCAGAAATTATCACTTGGAAGATGAGACAGGAAAAGGAACGGGCGAGAAGCGCGGGATACGTATCACAAGAAAAAAATCTTCTAAATTTGATTTCAGTCTTTGGCTTTTAGTTATGATTTAAGTTTTTGTTTTTTGTTTTGCTGTTAACACCACCATTTATGTGGAAGTTCACTCGGTTTGAATGAGTTGGGCCTGTATACAGTGATCCTTACCGGCTCCACCTGTCCTTGACCCAATGTGGAAAAATAGCTTTAGCTTAGGACAAAATAAACAAAACAAACAACCTTAAGGTCTCGTGTTGGCCAGCTCAGTCTACATAAACTACCCAACGTGCCGATACCTTTCAATAAGCCCGACATGTTATAAGTGGGCCAAGGCCTACCTGCCATGCACCCCGAACTATCGAAAGAAGTCAAAAGTACTCTCGAGCTGAGACTTTTGTATTCTAATACAGTAGAGAAGATAGCTATATATATGAAAAGGAAAGTTATCCATCACCTAGACCAGAAGTCTTCTAAATTTAGCTCTAGCAAATACATGCCAAGTGCATATAATTTGGGGTGCTAGTTAGTCTTGTTGTTGCATGCTTCAAAGGCTACCCTGTGATTAGGGGGTGTTTTGGACTGTATTGACGTATAAAGTCACCTGACTCAACGCCAAAGCTGGGCGAGAAATTTTTACCCAGGCGGCAGGAAAATCGAGGTTTTGCCAAAAGATTGCAGCTTTTCAAGATGCGTGTGTCAAATTACATCAGGTTAAAGCTGCTGAGTTGGCGAAACCGAGTAAACTACTTATAATAACATAGCTGATGGTTGGCAGAAGTTGTTAGCGAAAAGGCGATTTTCAAAAGTTTGAAGACGTGTTTTTTGTCATAGATGTATCACTGCCGTAGATAAAGTAGACAAGAACAAGAACATCTTTTGCCCCAAGGTACTTTGTGATCTGATCAGATAACGAGATACGGCCTATCCAACACTCACAGTCCTCCCATTCTCAAGTAGGGTAGGTGTCCAAGCTACTCTGACTCTACATTGGGGAGATGAAGACCAGGAGGCGGACCAAAAAACCTTTGATCACTGCCTGTCTTTAAAGTGTCAGTAGCACTATCTGAAGTTGTAGCTTCGGCACCCTCAAGCACTCCGTAGTCTAAAACCACTCGCTCATCCCACCTCCAATCTGCCTATCCTCCCTCAAGATGTGATAACCTATTGGAGCAATTGTTCGACAGAGACCAAGACCCAAGCTATGTGAATTATGACTTAGTTTTTTCCTCGCGGATATAAATAGTATCGTAAATTTTTAGTGAGAGAAAGCCGTTTTTTGCTGAGGAAAATTGCCGTGTGCAATTGGTGCGGCTACTTTTTCAGTCGTTGATGCGAGTCGATTTATGGTGTGAGCAAGTTGAAGGACTCATGTGAGAAAGAAAAGTCCCATATGGATGAGAAGTCGTCTATTTTAGATGTGGTTGGGATTGAGATTGCATTCGACTTCGATTCGGATGCAATTGTTCTTGGCCATCCCAGATATGCATAACAGAATAAGCGAATATATCAGCGCCTCAGGAAGTTAAATAATTCGTCTTTGCCGGCATTTAACGCTAGCTATCTGGGGCATGGCAGGTTAGTCCCGTGACGAGCAAGGCCTCGCCTATTAGTGCAGCCACCCAGGGATCGCCTTGCATCCAGTCCGACGTGAGGATTCGTCTACAATCAGTCAACTTGAGATAATGCTCAAGGTCATTTCAGCAACAAGACCTATTCTTGAGCTGACTGGCCGGATTTTTTCCGGCCGCTCAAGATCCTCGCTTAGCGGCATGACATCTATCCGTGACCCAAATACTCTTTCTAACTATGATTGCTGGAAGACAAAGCACACAATTGTCAACTTTGCAATCGACTTCCCTCAGAAAGGTCTCTCAGGAAAGGTGAAGCTAGAGCTCGAATCTCTCACAGATCGAGAATCCAGAGAGATTATTCTTGATACTAGTTTTCTCAACATTAGCTCGGTTCTGCTTGAAGGCACTGTACATGACGATTGGAGTGTTAAGGATCGGACTGAACCCTACGGCAGTCCTCTCACCATCAAACTATCAGAAGGTGTATGTAAGGGGGCTATAGTTGCCGTCGAAATTATCCTCTCAACCACTGAGCGTTGCACAGCTCTCCAATGGCTCACACCTGCCCAAACGTCAAACAAGAAATTTCCTTATATGTTTTCTCAGTGCCAAGCCATCCATAACCGATCTATCTTTCCTTGTCAAGATACTCCGGACGTCAAGAGTACCTACGAATTTTATATCCGCTCCTCACTCCCCGTCGTAGCGAGCGGCCTCTCGACTGGCGCTAGCGAGTTTCGGCCGGGTAAAAATGGTGCGGCCGGCAGCCTACTCTATTCATTCAAGCAGCTCACTCCTATCCCGTCGTATCTTTTTGCCATAGCCTCAGGTGATCTTGCTACTGGCTCTATTGGTCCACGCTCCCTTGTCTCAACCGGCCCAGAGGAGCTCATTGATGCAAAGTGGGAACTCGAGAAGGATACGGAAAATTTTATTCAAACTGCCGAAACTCTTATTTTTGAATATCCCTGGACACAGTATAATGTCTTGGTGCTGCCACCTAGTTTCCCCTACGGTGGTATGGAAAATCCCATCTTTACATTTGCCACTCCAACCATCATCAGTGGCGACCGCGAAAACGTAGATGTCATCGCTCACGAGCTGAGTCATAGTTGGAGCGGAAATCTAGTATCCAATGCATCTTGGGAGCACTTTTGGCTAAACGAAGGTTGGACAACTTACCTTGAGCGTAGGCTCCTGGCTGTCTTCCATGGGGAGCCTTATCGGGACTTTTCTGCCATTATAGGCTGGAAAGCCTTGGAAGATTCCGTGACCTTGCTCGGGGAAGAACATGAGTTCACCAAGCTAATAATTGATCTTAAAGGAAAGGATCCTGATGATGCATTTAGCAGTGTTCCGTACGAGAAAGGGTTTCATCTGCTCTACTACTTGGAAAAATTGATTGGCAAGGATATTTTTGACACTTTTATTCCACACTACTTCTCTACCTGGTCCCAAAAATCTCTTAACTCTCATGAGTTTAAGCAAACACTGATAGAGTTTTTTCAGTCGAACTCCGATGTATCTTCGAAACTTGATTCGATAGATTGGGATAACTGGTTTTACAAGCCTGGACTTCCTCCCAAGCCGCAGTTTGATACGACCATGGTTGATAAATGTTATGCCCTTGCTGAGAAATGGGAATCTGAGGTAAACCTAGTCCTATGCTATGACTTATCATCAGTTAATAATTGCTCACATAATGTGTAGAATTTCACGCCATCACCCAGCGATATTGAGGGCTGGAGTGCAAATCAAATTGTTGTGTTCCTCGAACGCATACAGCTTTTTTCCAAGCCTTTGACCGTGTCACAATCACGCTCCATGGGTCAGGCATACTCCCTTACTGTCTCTCGTAATGTCGAATTGACTTCACGCTACCTGGGTATCGGCCTCGCTGCGCATGATGAAGAGGTCTATAAGCCCACCACCGATTTGCTAGGACAGGTAGGTCGCATGAAGTTCGTGCGGCCACTTTATCGTAAGCTAAATCAAGTCGACCGCCAACTAGCGCTAGAGACATTCGAAAAGAATAAGGACTTTTACCATCCAATTTGTCGTCAACAAGTCGAAAAGGATTTAAAAGAATTGGTTGAAGAAATAGTGTAGAAAATACTTGGGGACTGGTTGGAAGAGAGATCACGTTTTTACGCTTTAGCTGTAGAGAAGTAGATTCTCTAGCTTCATGGCTTACGGGCCAAATACGAAACATTCACAGCAACAATTTTCTCGTGACTTTTCCAAATTTTTGTCTGTGTTTATCTCTCTAGCATGCTGCACCTGTTAGTAAGACTAAGCTTAAAGAGAGCTCGTCTTGTCAAAATGCTGAGTTCTGAAAATATGCGATCAACATCGTCTAAGGGTTAATCTAGCGCCTATGGGTAGATTTTAGACGCTGATTTTCAAGTAAAAAATATAATGTGAATGCGTACTAATATCCTTAGTGTTCTAATCTAAAAAAAGCTCGATATATAGATAGATGTCTCCTATGGGTATATATATGCCATAACAAAGGGCATGAATATTCTATCACAATGTATTAGGACTGAACCTCTAGAGAAACTTTTTAGTTATGCTTGGGACGTCTACTCATATGTCCGAGTAAAGATTCAAACTCCAAACAGCCCTCAACAATTTATCACGACTTATCAGACGACATAGCCTGACCAAAGCTATAATATGAAAATAATCATAAGTTTGATATTAGATCAGAGCGGTAGTCTTTGCAATCGCTTGAAACCGAACTTCATTGTGGATAATGAATACTACCCAACTATTAGTAGTAAGCAATGTTGAAATGGTAATGTATTATTATCCCAAAGCTGAATTTCAGAAGAGTGATGGGGTTCAAATAACGATGATCTGGAATATGATTATTTCTGAGCTGCAAACACTCATATTATTTACTCTAATTAAGGCCTAATTTCAAATAGAGCCTCAGCTTAACTAAAATTGATTATTGTCATATTCTGTTTTTAACGATTAAACTCCTCATAGACTCATTCTGTTACGGCTTGCAGATCATAAAGAGAGCTACCCTTGTTTGAAATTAAGCACTAGATCCAATACGGTTTTGGCTGCCTGTATGTTATGATACGAGACAACAAAATGGTCAGAGTTAGGGCATCGCATATTGCTCAAAGCCACAGAGGGGGACTATTCTCAACACCTATCAGTGGTGTTCCCTACGAACCTCCAGCTCTCACTGTAGAGTCTGCAGAGCCGAGATTGACTAACAAAGTCCTCACTTCCATGAGGATTCCCAATCGCTTTCGCCGTCTGTATCGTCTTCATCCCTCAACACATTCCCCTATCACCGTTACCATGAAGCTAACCACGATCAGATCGGATGGTACCGTCGAAGTCCTCTTCATCATCAACCCTTGATCATGGAGGGGAAGTCGAACGACGAGTTTCCGGAGGGTACCCAGTACCCGATACGGAGATGGCGGATTGGATCAAGTTGACCTCGACTGTTACAAAGAAGGGATATATAGATGAATATGCGCACCTCATGTGGTCCCGGTGTCTAGGCCTCGCCTGGCTGGGGCTGCAGGTTTTTTGAGACTTTTTCCCGCGCATGCAGTTTCCATTGCTACCTTTTTTATTTTTTTTGGGTAGAAGGTTCCGTGGAAAAGGTGGCCGAATTCCACAGGTAGACACTGAGCTGAATGGCTTTTCACCACGGGCAATATATCAATGATCTTTCGAGTAACATGAGATGCAAGGAGCACTGTACAAGGTGTAGCCTCGGTCAGAGAGGAGCCCAATGTGCTAGATATGCATAGTCACAAGTAGCGCAACAAGCAACGAGAAAACAACCCGACAAAGAAAAATTCTTCACCTTCCGATGGCGCCGCCGTAATCCCTCTGTATACTCGGCATATCTGGGATAGCCAAGAAGAATCGCATGCGAATCGACGTCGAAAGCAAACTTCAGCGTATCTAGAACTGACTTCTCATAAATATCGGTCCTATCTGCGACGTGCTAGGACTTTCAGCCACTGCACGAAAGCAATACCACAATTAAATGTTTTTGTTTTCCATAAGGAATTTGAAAGAGGGAAGCTATGGCGCTTTACAACCACAATGCCTGTTCCAGATCTCCTGACTATTTACACGTGATCTGATAAATCTCCCGCATGTTGAGTACCGTGGTGCCACGGTGTCAAGTTTGCAGTGGGGCTTTGGCAGGGAGTTTAGCGTTTAAACTAAGACGCCTTAGGCATAGTCACCTTCCATATTGGAGTTAGCCCCCGTATCTGTGCAAATTATTTAAAAATTTTGTATGTCAGTTTTTGTCTGGACACCATAGTTTGCGGTGGGTCTTTCCTTCGTACTAAACATAATTTGTATAATGATTGGCTGCATAACATTTGTGCATTTTTGCTACTTGACTTTATACCTTTGAATTTGATTTCATTATCCTGATTTGGCGCCCTATGGGCCCATGCAGATGTCTACAGTCTATAATATTTATCCGGGAGGAAACCTTAATGGTGAAAACCTCCCACATCTTTCTATTTTTTATCTGTAGTTCTCACATAATTTCTTCAGGAAGCGCAGTTACACTATAGTGCCATCCATGTAAACTAAGCAGATCATCTCTATCCGCCCCAAGCATTATTTGACCTTTTCATCTCCCTTAGCACAATTTCGACCGCTTATCTCATCTGGAATTGCTCTATCCAACCATGGTTTAGGATCCACTGTGTTATCCTTTTTATATCTCCAGGATTATTTATCATCGATTCGTAGGATCGATCTTTGGCTTGTCTCCAGATCTCAGCTCTACCATTTGACCATCAGGGGCAGGACATCATCATGTGCTTGGGGTTCTGTGATTGGTAGCCGCATGGACAACCTGGACTTAATACTCCGGGTACGTTTCTTCTGTGTAAATACGAGTTAAGCCCCATGTGCTCACTTCGTATTTGCATTGCCAAACTGCTTTGGGCCCTTGTCAGGTTACGGTGTAGGAAGAATGGTGAGCCTTGAAAACTCAGTTTTTGCCGTCCAGACTCTCTACTTTGTTAAAATGTGGCTGCTCTCCAAGTTTCGGAATCTGTAGTTGCTAACTGTCGAGGCTTCTGAGTTTGTTTCTGCTTGACTTTATACCTTATTAACAAGAGTTTAAAGGTTTTCAAATTACAAAATTGAGCCAGACTTATACTAACCTTAGATCTGAACATGTGGCTGGAATATTTTCAGGCCTTAATATCTGGTCGGTCTCCCATCCGCATCTACCACAGCCTGACATCTTGCTGGCATACTCTGAATGCGTCTCACAAGATCTTCGGAAGACACGGAATCCCATGCCTCCTTTAAAATATTGCGGAGGCCATCTTGAGTTCGCTGCTTTCCGCAACCAAGATTCGGATGATGACGCTGGATGTAATCCTTCATCTTATTCCAAACAGCTTCAATAGGGTTAAGATCAGGCGAGTTTGCCGGCCAGAAAATCGGTTGAATGAGCCTCTGGCTCATATCTTCCATTGTAATTGCGGCTGTGTGGGCAGGAGCATTATCCTGCATTACGGAAAGCCAAGGTCTCATCGAGACCATGCCATCAATAAAAGGAACTATCTTCTCGCAATATTTTTGGGAGTTAATGGAACCCCATTCCTTCTCCCAAAACAAACAAGGGCCTTTTTCTGGCCCTGCGAAGCAACCTCAGAACATCCATCCGACCCTATTCTTCGATTTTTCTCCAACACAATCAGCGTTGTACTCTTGGGAAGTCTAGCTCATAATGTTAGAGCATCAAATTACCATCCTCTTATTGAGGAATGTACGAACACTGCTTGTCACCCATTCTCTAGAATGTCTTCCATCCTCTACCCAAGTTTCGTCTGTCCATAAAACTGACGTCCAGTCTTCATATGTCCAACTGAGATGAGCTTTGGCCCATTCTCTACGTGTCTTCATAGTTTTCTGAGATACTGGAGGCTTTAGACGAGCCACATGTCGCTGCTATCCTTTTTTTTTAAGATCTCTTTGTATTACCCGCTCGCTAACACCAAGATGTCTAAAGGGGCCAGAGGCGAGTTGCAGAAATGTTTTGCGGCGGTTTCCAGGTGAAGACTCAACGTAAGATATAATCTGATCAATATCATCAGCTTTCAGCCTTGAGGATGTTCTTTTTCTCTTTTGGGGGGAGACAGTTCCGCGGCGCAGCAAATAACTAATTTGTCCCCGAGAAATGCCTAGTTGCACGGCAATCTGCGTCTGGTTTTTGCCAGATTCATGAAGCCCATAAATCTTAATTTTTCTTTTAATTTGTATTTGTTCATATCTAATTTTTCTACTTCCTAAAATGTTTTGATCTCTGGATAATTGTTTGATTCGAGATGTTGAAGGTGGGGTTTGAGGTGGATTCATCTGTAAAATAAGGTTATTATCGAGTAAAGCTATGTGTCTTCTAAATAAATAACTTTATATTTGAGAAATCTAATTTTTTTTTTAACTCAAGCACTGTTGGAAATTCAGACTCTATGTGTCTGAAGTTTCCCATGATTGGAACAACTAAGATTCTCACACATGACTCATGACCTAGATGATTGATATCTCCCTTACTGAGCATGTTTGATGCTTGAGACTCGACTAGTGCATGGTATGGTCTGATACACGTGTAGGCTTTCATCCACCGACCCTGACCCCATACTCATATTGTATACTGTCGTGCGTTTCATTGTCATTGTTAGAGTATGGAACGAGTGATGGATGGTATCTAGTCTGGATTTGGTCTATCAAGATCACATGTATATAAGCTGTCTAGGAATCACTAAGACAGATAATTAAATCAATTCAATTTATTCAAACCATCTTTTATTTCTCCACAGTTTTTCACATATTCACCCGATTCATATCATTATTATTCTATTCATAAAATCGCGCCCATATTCTTTGAGCCGCCTTACTCATCGAACCCATACCGGTTTTCCAACAAGCACAAGATGAGAAGAGCTGTGTAAATATTTAGCGGTCGGCGGTCATAAAAGTGATGGCAAACAACCAGAGAACAGGTTGGATTTGCATAAAACTGAGGGTGACATGAATTCAAATTGTGTGCTTGGTTTAGGCCTGGGAATCCAGGACAATAATTATGT